ACCTCCTCAAGGGCACAATGACCCCAAACCTACCCGGTTTTTGATGGTGTCCGTGTCACCCCACAAGATGGCCCCAGCTGCACCCAGCGCCGCACTCTCTCCGATGGTGGAGATCAGGTCTGGCTGTGGGGACAGAGCCTGGTTAGCACCCCCAGAGCCCACACAGCACCCACACCCCCAGCATGGTGCACCCCAAAGAGCACAGTGTGCGATCTGGCAGTCAAGACCCCGTCTCTGCTCTGGGCCATGGGGAGAGGGGACTGTCCCAGCTCCTTGGGGAGAGGCTCCCCACCACCACCCTCATCCCTGGGGGCTAAGCCAGCACAGCGGGAAGGCTGCGGGCTCACGTACCCCAGGGTCCTGGCTGCCAGGACCATCGTGTGCTGCCTCCCGGGTGCTTCCTTGGGGACAGGGACCATCAATGCCGGTCCTGTTGCCGGACACCCTGCCTGTACAAGGAGGGGGTGTTTGTGGCACCCCATCACTCAGTCATAGCCCCACAGATGGGGTGAGCTGGGGGGGTCTGCAGCTCCCAGCCCCATGCCAAAGTGTGGTGCTTTGCACCCCACGGGGTGACAGCCTAAACCAAGGGGTGCTGGGAACACTACAAGGGCAGCCACCAGCCTCCAGAGCCACCCTGCATCAGGGGGCAGGATGGGATGCGGGCAGAGGGATCACCTTGGCTGACCCAGGTGCTTGGAGCACTGGATGAGGACATCCCAGCAGCACGGCCCTACCTGGCTGAGCATATCCAGCTTGCGGACATAGGTGGGCCGGGTGTAGACAAAGACAGGCAGGGAGTAGCCATCGTGATGCTGCTGCGAGATGCGCATGGCCTCCATCACCCGTGCTCGCACAAACTTGCGGCTGTTCGGAGTGGAGGCCAGGAGCAGGTCGAGGTAGATGGACGGGTAGAGGGCCATGCTCTCCCTCCAGAGCCACGCCAGCTGGTCATTGCGTGTCTTCTCCACGTCCGGGCACTGCCCAGTGTAGCTCTCCTTGTTCTTGCTGTAGTCGTGGTTGTAGCAGTCGGGGAAGAGGTAGAAGCCCCAGAGCTGCTTGGGGCGAAACCTCTTGGCCTTGCGCAGGGTGCTCACCATGAACTGCTGGGCGGCAGACTCGAACTCGAACACCGCCTGCTTGTTCACCTCCTCGCGGGACCAGGTGT